ACTGTCACACCTGGGCACTGCTGGAGCAGTGATGTCACACCTGGGCACTGCTGGAGCAGGACTGTTACACCAGGGCACTGCAGGAGCAGGACTGTCAGACCTGGGCACTGCTGGAGCAGTACTGTCACACCTGGGCACTGCAGGAGCAGTGATGTCACACCTGGGCACTGCTGGAGCAGTGATGTCAGACCTGGGCACTGCTGGAGCAGGACTGTCAGACCTGGGCACTGCTGGAGCAGTACTGTCACACCAGGGCACTGCTGGAGCAGTACTGTCACACCTGGGCACTGCAGGAGCAGGACTGTCACACCAGGGCACTGTTGGAGCAGTAATGTCAGACCTGGGCACTGCCAATTAGACTGGAGCCAGAACAGGGATACAGGAGGTGGGCACGTAGTTTTCAGATTGTTCAGGGCGTCTTGCTGGATACCTACCTGCCCAAATTCTGTCTCTCTGTCCACTCATGGCTTCCTAAATAATCCCCATCTGTGAACCGGCGTCAACACTCTGCTGTCTGCTACCAGTAAAGCACTTTGAGTGGAAAGCAAAAAACACGTAAGCATAAGGAATTAATTTACTTTCTTGATCTGCTCGCTCCACACTCCCACAACTCTCTGTGCAAAGAGGTGTCTCCCGTTCTCAGTCTGAAACGCCCTCCACCTTAGAAAGCAGAGAATATTGGAAACCTTTTTTTAAAATTATTTTACTAACTAAAATGGATACAATAGAGCACGCACATATATACATACAACCCTATAAATAACCGTCGGGAGTACGTGCTATAATACAATGAGACTTTGTGAAAAACGATTAAACAAGGTCAATTAAGATCGGGTCCGCAGAGCTTGCATGTGCTTGCAGTTTGGTATAGTCTGTAAAAAAAACTGTTTAGCAGACCTGTGTGAATGAGGCGATTCTGAGGAGCTTTTGTCCGAGAAGCGTGTTCAGTGTCTCTAGTTCAAGAAGGATGTGCCCCTTCCGTCCTCCTCGTTAGTATAGTGGTGAGTATCCCCGCCTGTCACGCGGGAGACCGGGGTTCGATTCCCCGACGGGGAGACGCTGGCTTTTCCTTTTCTCCTCAGCTGTCATTGCCATGAGCTATGTGCGTCATGCAGCTGGGGAAGTATGTCATCGCTGAACGGGAGCCTTTTGCAAAACTGTTTTCGTCCTAGAGCACGCACACGACGTGCACTCGCGTTACAAAGCCCTCGCGTCCAGATAACATCAGGCAAACGGAAAAAGCTGTCTGTGTCAGAAGTGGGATTCGAACCCACGCCTCCAGGGGAGACTGCGACCTGAACGCAGCGCCTTAGACCGCTCGGCCATCCTGACTCGATGACCAGTCCGTGTCGCCTGCTCTTGCAGTCTGCGGTCTGGAACCTGTGACCCGGCGGCGGTGCAGCTCTTTCGATTCCCGCGTTGAGGTTCGCCGCCGCTCACACCGCGGAAGTACATAGCGTGCACCTGTCATGGCTCTGAGGAAAGGAGCAAAAGACAACAAAACACCCGCTGGCCCGTACGGGGATCGAACCCGCGACCTTGGCGTTATTAGCACCACGCTCTAACCAACTGAGCTAACCGGTCCCTCGTTACACGTTACCCCAGCCCACGGAAAAAAAAACGAAGTGTGTGTGTGCGTGTGCTCTCATTGGTTGACATGAGCGAGGGCGGGACAAAGAGGCAGGGGTTTTGATACAACCGGCCGTTTCTTTTAAAAGGATGAGAGCAGCGCTTTTCGCATTGGCCTGCGGGGGATGTTATTTTTAGTGTCTGGTCTGGTTAAGTTTGCTGGTGAATGCTTCTGACTCTCACGGACACGCGTGGACCAAGATGGACGTCGGTACGTGCTTTTCCACCGGCTCCCTGGATGTTGGGTGGCTTGGGGCCGGTTAGCTCAGTTGGTTAGAGCGTTATTTTCAGGTTGCAGTCTGTTTCTGGTGTCTAAGCTGTTGATGAGAAAAGCCGCACGTGGGGGCGCCCTCTGTGAAGAGAAGAGTCTCTTTACCCCACAGAGAACGGAAGCTCAGTGAATCACCTCCATCACCACTGAGAGCACTATCTTGAGCAAGTTCTTCCAGCAGGCCGGTTAGCTCAGTTGGTTAGAGCGTGGTGCTAATAACGCCAAGGTCGCGGGTTCGATCCCCGTACGGGCCAGTGGGTGTTTTGTTATCTTTTGCTCCTTTCCTCAGAGCCATTACAGGTGCACGCTATGTACTTCCGCGGTGTGAGCGGCGGTGAACCTTAACGCTGCAGCAAGGCCAGGTCACAGGGTCCAGACCGCAGGCGACACGACCGCAGGCGACACTTCCGTTCGCAGTCTGAATCGCACTTCATCTTCGGAAGAAAGACAAGGGGAAATCTTTATTTTGTTTTTGTTTCGTTTCCAGCGTTGCTGTAAAGAGAAAGGTACAACGCTAAAGTAAAGAGCGTGCACGACGTGAAATGGTTCGGGGGGACAGAACAACAAAAAGACCCGCTGGCCCGTACGGGGATCGAACCCGCGACCTTGGCGTTATTAGCACCACGCTCTAACCAACTGAGCTAACCGGCCCCACGCAGAGCCAGTTCCCAGGGATCCAACCGAAAATCCAGTTAAGACGTCCACCTCAGCCCACTCGTGTCCGTGGCAGTCAAAAAAGAAGCATTCACTAGCAAATTTAACCAAGCCAACCACTTAAATTCCCCGCAGGCCAATGCGAAAAGCACCGCTCTCATCTTTTTAAGTGAAACGGCCGGTTGTGTCACTGCGGCCGCCCTCAGCACACGAACCCAGGGAAACCATTGTAGTCCACCGGGGCGGGGCTTACACACGCACACCCCTGCCTCTTTGTCCCGCATTCGCTCATGTTAGCCAATGAGAACCTCCACCGAGTCTAATTGACAGCGACGTCGACCAATGGCGAGGACGAGTGGAGGGCGCCCGCGCGCGCGCGCTTCCTGTAGGTCGGAGCAACAAGAGAGCTACAAAGAGTTACTGCGCCGACTACCACCTTATCCGTTAACTACATAACACCGAAACTCCCCAACTCCAGGGACCTGGTAACACACACACATATATATTTTCTGTGTTATCATGCCCCGGACCCGAGGAAGCCGTAACAGGACTGAGGTTTCAGCAGAAGAAACAGCCCAGACTGAGCAGAAACCAGGTAGTTCGCGAAACAGACACCGTTTTGTTTTACGGGGGGGTTGTCCTGTCCCTAACCCTAACCCCACAGCAGAGGAAACAGGCTGAAAGAACACGCGTGTACACGCGTGAGGGACCACACGCCGGCCGGAGAAACAGGGCGCCTCCCGGCTGTCTCTCCGCCACTCTGCGGCTCCGTGCTCTCGGTTAGCCGATCGGGGCTTTGCTGCGAATTGTTCTCCAGCTCTGGCGGCGAGGCACGGTCGCATTCGTGCCGTGGGATTTGCGATCGGTCTCGGCCGCTGGAGAGCAGCCCTC